CCTCATAGATGTAATACACTTGGAAAGATCCTAACAATTCATTATAAGACCAAAACCCTATAAGATGACGATTCTGATCTTAGGAATTATTAAATCATATAAATGATTGTTTGATATATCATGAAATTTTTTGTTGTTATGTTGCTTTGAAGGGTGCGCCAATCTCATCCTCAGAACAATGTTCTCTTTCAATCCTTTCAATCAATCAATATGACCTTCGACAATCACTTTTACTAAAAATTGAGCAGTTTCTTAAAAACTTGTTTCAGATATGAAATGTTGAATATTTCAATATGTTCTTATAATTCACAATAAGACGATTGCCTAACAAATCACTTTTATTTTCTTACAACTTTCCTCTAATTAATTTTGTGTAAAGTTGTCAAAAAAAAATTAATGATATGAGATAAGTAAAGGGAAGTGCTCACCTCGCCTATCCTCCTCCTACACTTTTGTTGATTGTTAAGACAACTCCATGTTGTTGATACTCCGTTGGGAGCCTACTTCACAAGTAATTGCATCATATGCAGTTCTTCAATGATGTTGATTTATATACGATGTGCTCCTCGAGATTATAGTCATGTTGACTATATCATCATTGACCAATGACAAATATCTATGTATATGATTTTAGATGTTTAAAATGTAATAAAAGGATGTTTGTGCTTTCACAAGAGGAGAGATAAAAAGATTCGCTTGAACCTCGAAATATGTAGACAATAGTCAAATGTTATACTACCCAATTTGTAGTTACAATATATCTAACTTAGTCAAGAGTATTTTTTTTATAATAATCTAGCTTAGTCAAAAGTATTTTTTCATATAATTTTTTTTTAAAAAAAAATTAAAATCACTGTTCACTTAAGTTACTGTTTATGCAAATAATTGTTCGCATGAGATTGCTGTTTACATTTTCTATGTATGAGGCCAAATTTCAAATACTCATAAAGTAAGTTATCGATTCTCGTTTTAAGGACATAATACTGTATAATTTTCATGGTATAAATCACAAAAAATAGTGAACAAAATTTAACACAAAATTTTGTGATTTTAAACTAGGGATTGATATTACTCATAACATACAGGTCCAATTCATGCCATATTTTTCAGATATTATCTAACTCATGTTGTTTCATAAACATATCATTATCATGCCACTATGAACACATATATAATATATATGCATTAAATATATGTTTAATGTTTGTTTCATGCGGTGAACATTGTAGTACTTATATTTTAAACACGAAAAACAACATATATAACTCTGATATCAAAAATGAATTATGTATAATATGCGAAAACGTGGACCAAAAATAAATTAGACATACCTGTTGAAACTTTAAAGACAAAAACAAACAACAAGTCTGGATTAATGAGGTCGTTTTATATATCCTTTCTATGTATCTTCATACAATTAAACACGAACAAATACCTCACGGTAGGTATGACTATGCAAAACTAATGCAAGTCAAACTCGTATTCCATCATTTTAAAACATTCACTTATTCTTCAATGGAAGAATGGGAAGAGAGCATAAATAGAATGATAGCTCGCCGTCTTCCAATATATTTGAGAGTTTTGTTTCAGATCATCTAACTTGGGAAGAGCCAAATACATATATTAATAGGGAGGAAAGAGAGTGTGGTAAGACTTGATATTATCGAGTGGTGGTTTTTGTCCATTATCCTTGTGGGAGTTAATCACTAGTTTGAACTAGTCAAACTCTGTCAATTAGCCTATGTCTTATCAAGTTATGATATGCCCACCAATGGGTCGGCTCAATATTCCAAATTTCTACATTACTATATAATAATTCATTTTAAAAATATATACAAATTAATAAATGTGTAGTTCGCGAGCAATATCGATAAAAGCAAGTAAAGAAATAACAAATAATTAAAAACATAAAAACACACAGAATGTGTTGTTCACCAATGATTTTTAAAAATTTATTTTATACTTTGTATAATTAAATTTTTTATATTACACTTTCAAAGTATTCAAAGTGTTGTAATTTGACCTATTATTAACTTCTATTATTTTATTCTGTCAACGTCAAGAAGGTGGTTATTGAAAGAGTGAGCAACAAAAGCTAATGGTATAACCATATTGTAACAATTTTAATTCATTGAGTGTACAATATAGAAAAGTTAATCCTTTTAAGGATACAAAGTTAGAATTTCTTAAACCTTTAAGGAGAATTATAAAATTTTGGTGTAATATGCCTTTTTATTCAAATAGTTTCTGAGAAAAGAAAAACATTGAGAAATAAAAAGACAAATAACCCTTTAAGTCATGGCCTTTATAGGTGACAGTGACACATTCCCAGATGAGGGGCAAAAGAGGGAAAAAAAATTAATCCCTGGTCACTGGGCTGAGCTTCCCTCTATGTGATAGGGGAGATAGAGGGGGAGAGGGTTAGGGTTTGACGGTGCAATGGATGAGATAACGGAGGGAGTGACCAACATCACCATAAGCGGCGATCCACACAAGAAGAATAGAATTCAGGTCTCCAACACCAAGAAACCCTTGTTCTTCTACGTCAATCTCGCCAAGGTATACTGTGTGTGTATCTGTATGTACCCACGCGAATACGTGTGCATACAAATTGGGGTTTCGTATTATCTATCAAGAAAAAATTGTAAGTTACAGTTAATCGATAAAGAAATATGGGTTTTGATATTCTGGATCTGGATTGGAGGTATCGGTGTTGTGTTTGAAGGGTGCAATTGGTGGATCGCGCGTTTAGCTCTCTTTCTGTTTTTTTCTGAGTGAAGGTTTGAATAAGTGAATAACAGGGTTGTTGGATTTGTATTTGCAGAGGTATATGCAGCAGCACAATGAGGTTGAACTTTCAGCTCTTGGCATGGGTATTCTCTCATATCCCTTGTTTTTCTACAATAGCTTATGCAGTTTAAACCTCCAAGAGTTGTCAATGTTTTCATTAATTATTACATTCGGAGTTATATGGTGTATGTGCATTTATTGTTTCTTCCCAGGTATGTGTTACGGTTAAAAATAAGACTGTGTATATGAACTCTTGGGTACCCTTCCCTTGCAAGCTTGTTTTCATGGTCAAGCTCTATCAATGGGTTCATAACAATTGATATATGCTTGCCACCACGTCGATCGAGTATGGGATCCAATGCAGTATTAGTTGCAATTCTCTGTTGTCGAGGTATTGAAGGGGCAACCTATGGGCTGGATACATCGTATTATGTATTGGCATATTGTTACCTTATTGAATGCTGATGGTTGAGAGGAGTCGCCAAATAAAAAAGGCTACCGTTGGGTCAGTATTGATTGAGTGGGCCGCAATTGTGGAAGCGTGGTGGAATGTTACGATTTCGCATCGGTTAGAAATAAGACTAGATGTGTGTATATGAATTTTTGGACACCGTTCCCTTGTAAGTTAGATTTTAGGGGCAAGTTATACCCATGGGTACATAACAATATGTTTTTTTGCTTTGTCATGCTTATTGATGTAATTTTTTCCATTGCGGTGCCCATTTTGTTTTCTTTTTTTATTTTAAACAATGACAATGGATTATGAGATCCATGTGATGCTTGTGTTTAACTGTGCATAAAAAACAAAAATACCAAGAATGATAGGAAACACATCAAAAATCATGGACCTAGAAGCAAAAATCCACCTGAACGTCTGCAAAATATGAACCCTAAATTGACAAGACATGGCAGAGAAGTAGTTTTCTTCCTCTTCTAGAGAATGAGAGCCACTAATCACAGCCATCTCAGATTTCCTCTCTCTAAGATTTTTGATTCGTCCATCTGTGCGTGTGTGTGTGCGTGTGCATGTGTGTGTGTAAACAAAGTGTCTGCCAACTCCGTGTGTCCCCAGACTCCAAGGCTTTAAATAGGGGCTCTAATTTTTTTGACTTTTTGGGTAAGCTTTTATTAGTTATTTTTTAGTGGGTAAAAATACTTTTGTAATTTACATTATAATTGTTAAATTATCTTTGTGGTATATAATTGAATTTATTTTCATCTTTTAATTTAATTTAAAATTAAATATTGAATTACATTAGATTTGGATGTAGATTTGTAATTTATGTAGCCATTTATAATTTATTAAGGGTCCATCTTTGCATGTTTAGTATTTTTAAATATCACAAAAAATGAATACTAATACTAATAATGGTAAATATTTTCTTTTTGTATTTTTAAATATCAAAAAATTTGAAAACTAAATGCTAACGATGTTAAATATTTTTGGTAACGTTTTTATATTTCAATTTCACCAAATTTAATGTGTTAGATGATATATTATGAGCTTATGATGTTTAAATGTTATTCTTTATATTTTTATAAAATTTTCATGATTTTTTAAAATTTTTGTGGGACTTCTATCTAGTATTTTTTGTGTATCGCCTGATACCGTGCTGCAATACTGCGACCGATGTGTATCAGTACTCTCCAAGTCAACAACCAATACTGCGACTTTGAACCATGCCTTATGCACAAGGTGTGCAACTGCCCTGCAATTACATTTTTTTTTTTTTTAAAAAATTTATTTTCATGTTCTGGTGGGTACGGTTTATTGAGAAAGTTGAGGAGGAAGACAGATATAATAGATGATATTAGAGCAAGAAACTGATTTTACTGTTACTCTTTGGAACAGTTACATGACTTGTAGGACTTTATGGAGATCAGAGGACTATTAAATGAACTTCATTGGAAAAATTAGAGGGGTCCTAAGCTTAGGCTTTCAAGTGTGAAAATGTATGTTTTAGTTTGAAAGCAAGCCCTTAATAAAAACACAGGTGTCACTTTTACGTCACCTATTCCTTAAGCACCTGGATTGATGATATTGATATTGTTTCCCTTTGTCTTATTGTCACACGTGATTTTTGTCTTGTGTTTGTGCACTGGCTTAGATTTTTCATTTTTTAATGTACATGTACCATTTGATATAAGGAGCATAGGCTTAGAAATTGAACATATGATTTTAGTTGCAAATTTTCTACCTGTTGAGTGGGATGGTCAGTTTTTTGGTGCTTTAGGCTGCTTTCTTGCCTTTTTTCCCTTTTGTTATTCCTAAATTATAATGCATGTTCTTTTAATGTGCAGATTCTCTCTTTATGTAATATGGTGCAAAAGAGAAAAGCCAAAATCTTTGTGTATGGTCTTTTCTCTGTTGATTGGGCCAATCTCCCCTCCCTTAAAGAGGTGAACCCAGGAATTCTACCCTAAGAAGGTGGAGAAGTTAAATCTCCAATATGACATCAAATTGATCTACATAGTTGTGGTTAAAAGTTTAATAAGACATTTTGGAAAGAACTATCAAAGCTACATGTGTTGGAAGCTTTAACCACAAAGCTAAATAACTTTGTTTTTAGATCGGTGCCATGTAAAGGCTTTGTTTTAAGTTTCCAAAACTTCATAATTCTGTTCTTTTTTGTTAAATTGTATAAGGTTTAAAAGTCACTTACTAAAATACTTCGCGTATTAGAGGTGTTATACCTGGGTTAGGCACAAGGTCTATCATACTCAAGGAAAGTGATTTGTAGGATGCTAGGATGGAAGAAAGAGAAAAGGAAGGGGCAAAAAAAAGAAGGGGGGGGGGGGTGAGAGGTGAGAGCAAACCAGATAGAGAGGTCTCTAGAGAAAGAATGAATACTAGTAAATCATTCAATTCTTCTCATTTTTCCTAATTGACGTTGAGCATAAGTTCTATAGCTGTGATTTCTAGATAATTAATTGTGATTTCTTTTTCATGTGGATGATATGCATGCTAAATGGAGGTCATTGATTTGCATGGACCAAATAGCATTTGCATCATTTTGGTTGACTGTAATTTGTCTGTACACTGGTGGTGGAATTGTTTGTATTTAGATATAGTCTGCACCTTAAATTTAGGAAAGTGAACTCTTTGCAGTAGTCAACCATTTCTATGTGGTATTTTCTATATCTGATGAGAATACTACTGTTATATATGCAGCTATTGCCACAGTTGTCACCATTGCCGAAATTTTGAAAAACAATGGACTGGCTGTTGAGAAAAGTAAGACTTCTGATATTTTATTTTTCAGGATAGAAAATTGTTCTCTTCATAGCTTTTAGCAGATATAATGAATATAATCTGCAGAGATTACGACATCTTCTGTTGATATGAAGGATGAATCAAGAGGGCGTTCCATCTCCAAAGCCAAAGTAAGTTTCATAATGTGGCCTATTTCTATGCTTTGTCAGATAAGGTCTTGTTTACGAATACGTAGTGGGATTTTGTTCGCTTTCTTGATCATTCTCATCATGTGCTTTCTCTTGGATTTGGGACTATAAAGCTTTACCTAGTGGGTTTAGGTTCTATTTTATGTTTAAAATTTTCATCCTAGCTCCTTTTCCATCCCTACCCAGAGGGTGTGTTTTCCTCTTTCTTATTTTGTGCATAAAAAAGCATGCCATCTTACTCATTTTGTTTCTTAGATTGAGATATTGCTGGGGAAGACAGCCAACTTTGATGAACTGATGGCTGCTGCTGCTGAGGAGAGAGCTGCTGGAGATGGAGATGAGCAGAGCTGAAAGGGGGTGCTCCTTAATATGTTTTGCTGGTTTTAATCTTTGTAGTTAGCAAAAGTTTATTCAGAAATTTTGGAGAAATTTTGGTAGCTGTTTGGATATATTTGTAGGATTGTCAAAACGAACTCCTTGGCAATTCAAAATTCAATTTTGTTTTTTGATCTCTTCTCTTTTGGTTACTGACCACATCTGACATGATAATGGTGTTTTACAAATTACAATTAACAGTTTAACATAGTCGGCCAAAAAAACTAAACTAAACTAAGGCATGTTTTGACAGAGTGATGCATTACACCTCCTAGTATTCCTCATATATGCTTTCTCTCCAACAAATGTGGGCGATGATGCATAATGTATTCTTATGTGGTCATTAATGTTTTGTTTAGTACGATGAAAAAAATAGAAAGAGGAAAAATTGAAAGGAAAGAAAATAAGAATAATGAAAAATAGATAGATTAACTTTCATTTTAATTAGTCATAACCTATGTCTGAAAGCACGATAATATATAAAATTTGAGTGTCGGAAAAATTGATCCCATTATATTAAATTTTTTTAAAATACATTAATTACAAAGTAATTAAATATTAAATGATTAAATATATGATAGAAATAAGTGATGTGATATTTTTAGGGAAAAAATATATAAATAATTAAATATGTGATACGATTTGATATTTGAATCTGACAAATGGCTGATGAGTGAGATAAGTAATTGGTGATGGTTTTGAGGAAAAAAATATAACTGGGATAAAATTCAAACATACTTTTGTTTTATTATATAGGTTACTTATTACGTATACATTATTATTTTACAATTGTCCTTCTCCAAATTTAGTAAAAAAGCAATTAAAAAATTTAATAAAATCAAATAAAATTTGACTTAATACCCAAAAAATTGATATAATTTATTATCCCAAAAAATTGATTAAATGAATTTCAATATATTAATTTGATAATAATAAAAATTAATTTGATATTAATTTGACAAAGTTGAATATAAATTGAACAAAATTAAATGTCAATTTTTGATAAAATTATATATTAATTTACAATCTAAAGTTCACTTTGTGTTGAATATTATTTTGTGTTTATAGTCAATGTGCTATTTTTTATTTACATTAAGTATTATTATTTATAAATTAAGAAGTAAGTGACAAAATACATGTCAAACATATAAAAACTTTGAATTAGTTTCATAAAATAAATAATTGCATAACATGTAATTTCATTTATTTTATGGAGTAAATAATAACAAAAACAACACATGAGGAAAAAAAATAGATAATAGTATGAGAGAGAAAGAAATAACTAGAGAGAGTTATATGAAATATAGGAGTTTTAGAGTTATAAAATGAATGAAATTCTAATTAGAACCATTGGATTAAAACGATTTAAGTCGCAAAAAAATTCAAGACAAACAATCTAACTACTTTATCATATGAATATAATAAAAAAATTAAAAAAAATACTTTTTCTATTTTATTAAACACAAAAAAATCAATTATTCCTACTTTTCATCTCTTACCGAACACAAAGAAGAGAAGATATGATTTTTCCCTTGAAGGATAAAAAGTGTATCACTCATCCACTCTACTAAACGGACCATAAAGGTGGCAACTTAAGAGCAACACAGCACCTCCTCTGAATATTTCTGGTAATTGGAGCACATCAACTGAGATTTTCCCTTTCTATAGTTTACATTTGAAATTTTCCTCCCCAAAAATAGTAAAGATTTTCAAAAATAATCAAATGTCTCATGACAAAAAGCTCAAATTTCCTTTTCCATCTTTATGGATCCTCTTCTTCCTCAACCAGTATCTTCTTGCACGCCTCATAGCACATGAAAGAAATTCCAGCAGCAGGGACCAATTTCATGCAGCTTGGTCCCAAACCCTTGTATAGACCAGGAACACCTTCCATCTCAAGTATACTTACAAGGGCATGAAGCATGTTCTCGTACTGTCTTCCATTGATAGCACCGGCTTGCATATGTTTCCGAGCAACCTCCAGAGGAAAAGTTGCACTACTTGAAATTGCACCTGATGCTGCTCCGATTAAGAGGGTTGCAACATTTCCAATTTCCTCCTGATCGAAAACCTTCTTGTAACCTTTCCTCAATGAATCATAAGCAAAATAATTGGTGGCAGCGTATGGGATTACTCCAATTATACTGGGGGTAAGGCCCCGGTACAGCTCTGCAGGTCCCTCTTCTTGCACAATTTTCAGAAAAGCATCTAGAAGATTCTTGTAATCACCCCTCTGCAAATAAACGATATCCATAAGTAACAAGCCACAACTACTTCATAGTTTATAATGTAAAGAATACAAATCTGAAAGCTTTTTTGTATACCTGGACGGTTAGTCGAGTTTTGAGCAACTCAAGTGGGTAGGTGCATAAAGTAGAGCTAATTCCAGCAATAGCACCTGCAATTGGAGATGCAGGTATGGGCAGTTTGGGCTGTTCTCCAGGTTTAGGCGTCAAATGCTTCTTAACCGTATCATAAGCAAACAACTGCAAAGAGTTTTACGGAGACACACTCGAGTGTTAATGAAAAATCTGGTGAATAATAGTCTGATGGTTCTTGGATTCTATTCAAGAAACTCTCATCAAGTGGACATTATGCAGACAAAATTAATGTATGTGATATTAAACGATACAACCCACCAAATAAATTAGTCACCAGAACTAGATAAGTTAACTAATTTTTGGACGTTTCAGCAAATTAAGGACAACTAGGTGGGATTCTTCCCACAAAGCAGATAACGAGTTGAAGGCTGGCCAATAAGATCTCATAAATCATTCTTCATTCAACTCAAGCTCGGAGTACATGCGCTAGACGGTTAAATTATTGTGGATGATCAAGTAGCTACAATGAGATAAATCGGAAGTATGATAACAATAATGGAACCCAAATATGCACCAAACAGCAGCCAAGAAGAGCCATCAGACACGCACACCCAACAGAGGGAAGAAAGATGAGAGAATCATGATGATTGTGACATAGAAACGGCTTGTCTTATAAGATTAGGAAGTTATTTGACTTACTCTCATTAATTGGAGAAAGTCCTATCAGGGTGTGGGGGAAAACATACAGAGGGAAAAGAAGTTCATGAGAGATGCTAAGAAACATTATAATGACACATATTTGAGTACCAACTTTTGTCATGATAAGTCAAAGGAATCTAAGAGGGTGTGCTTTCAATTTTAAGGCAAAATGTGTTCTCGAAGTAGATGAAGAACAAAAAGAAATAATGGCACAATGAACTACTAGATTTGACCAAAATTGTAGCTCTTCCTCCAACACCTCCCCCCCTCCTGCCCAGGATTCCAGAGGAAAATGTGAGAAGGCATTACGTCTGATCAGAATTTTCGGGCAAAATTTCTTGCAGTCTGCGCTAAAATATTCAGAGCCAAGGGATCCATGTTATGAATGTGAAAGATCTCTAGTTGATAAGTCATGTTGACCATCATCAATTAAAAAACTGTATCAGACCAATTAACAAAGCAAAGTAGCTTCCCTCAAAATTCCACAAAAATGGTTTGCATTCTCTTCCAATAACCTCATTTTGGTCTGAAATCATATTAACATGCAACTTGTTCATTATCCACGAGCAGTTGATTTTATAGGTTGACAAATGTTACCCCCTTAGCCATTGGCAACATTTGGCATCGGGTAGCCTCGCCCATAGGCACTCATGCCTTAGCCAAAAATGGCAAAAGTCTCATGCATGACTAAGAAAGGCAGTTCATACATATGGGCACGTGGGCACAAGTCAGCATGCCAGCAAGGAAGCGGGCGGCTTAAATTGTGGGGCGATGCTAGCTTGAATAATGAGCCATGGGCTGGGCCATAGTTAGGCACGAATGTAATGAAATTCGGATGCTGAAGGCTCCTGACACATGCACAACATGTGAGGAAGTTGGGCATGTGCTCTGTAGATGGTGGCAGTTCTGGACAGTTTTCTGGCAAGTGCATTGCATGTGGGATCTCTGTCAGATTTCGACAAGTATGCAGACACCAGTTATAACTTCCCTGTCATCCAATCATAGCAGACCTCTGGTAGCATTTGAATTACAGACATGTGCCTAGGCAGTTGGGCTTGTAACTGCCACCTTGAATATTATAAATAGGGTACTTGGGGTCTGTAGTGCAACAAGAGAGTTGGCACGTTTTGTAAACAGACCCCAAGGTTGAGTTCCTTATGCTTTATTGAGAAAGAAAGGTTTGGATGTTGCCTGTAAATTCTGTGTACCTTGCCTGTGTGTTTACTTACTGTCCATTCTCTGTTCTATGTGCATTTTGTGTGCATTTTGAGTGTTTGACTGAGACTAAGTGTTGGATCTTAGTGCTATCACGAGGCAGAAATTTGGTGAGAAATTTAACCCCAAGACAATTGGTATCAAAGTTTCAGTTTGCAACCATGGCTGGTGGAAACGCTGCTGAATTACGAGAACGTGTTGCCCGTCTCGAAGATTTTCTAGGCGCCCCTCAAACAGATGGTGCAACCAGCGTGACTGTGCAGATGGAACAATACACTATTCAGATTGCGGGATTACAGATGGCTTTTGATAGTTATGTGTCTGACACCGATGCAAAGATTGTAACAATGATGGAGGATATCATGTTTCTCACAGACGCTGTCAAAACGAATTTGAAGGATCTTGAAGATGAAGTGTCCTTAGTGAAGAGGGCCATGAATTCTCGTCTTACTGTGGGCGAGACATCTTTAAAGATTAAAGTCCCTGAACCAAAGGCCTTCCGAGGTACCGGAAGCGCTAAGGATCTGGAAAATTTCCTCTGGGACATAGGGCAGTAATTTAAGACAGCCTATGTGCTTGATGGAGAGAAAGTAACAATCACTAGTATGTATTTATCTGGTGATACCAAATTGTGGTGGAGGACCCGGAATGTGGACGATGCCTCTGCTGGTCGTCCAAAGATCGAGACGTGGGAGACCCTGAAAAAGGAATTGAAGGATCAATTCCTCCATAGCAATACAACTTGGATTGCTAGGAACTCACTCAAAAAGTTGAAACACACCGGAACAGTTCGTGATTACGTGAAGGAGTTTAGTTCATTGATGTTGGACATCAAGAACATGTTAGAGGAAGACAAACTCTTCAACTTTATGACTGGACTGCAAAGTTGGGCACAGACTGAACTGCGAAGGCAGGGGGTACGTGATCTGCCCACTGCCATTTTTGCAGCAGATGGCCTTGTTGACTTCAAAATGGGCGGCAGCCAAGGCCCTCCTGAGAAAAAAAAGAAGGATGATGACGGCAGGAAAGATAAGGCTAGCACTTCCAAAGACGCAAAAAAAAGCAGATTAGAAGAAAAAGAAGAACGTTGCTGACTTTAACAAGCCAGACAACAGCCAGAAGAAGAAAACTTTTGATTCTGGTTGTTTTCTCTGCGGTGGCCCCCATCGTGTCAAAGACTGCCCCAAGAGGGAGAAGTTAAGTGTCATTGTTGCTGCAAGTGAGAATGATAGTGATGATGACTGTCCTACCCGAGTCAACCCTCTCCAGTTGCTGAACGCAATTACTGTGGGCAAAGTTTAGCAACCCTGCAAAGGCCTCATGTTTGTTCAGGCCTGGGTGAATGGCAAGGAAGTTCAGGCCATGGTGGATACTGGAGCCACCCACAACTTTGTTGCCCAGAGAGAGGTGGGAAAATTTGGCCTGAAATTGTCAGAGAATTCAAGCAAACTCAAGGCAGTAAATTCTGAAACAATGTCAGTACGTGGTACAACAAAAATACATTTAAAGGTGGGTCTGTGGGAAGGCCAAATGAGTTTGATGGTTGTGCCCTTAGAAGACTTTGATGTCATCCTAGGGAATGAATTCTTTGTTACAACAAAAGTGGCACTGATGCCACATCTGAACGGAGTGCTGATCACGGATGAGAAAGCACCCTGCTTTGTGCCTGCAGTCATGGCAGACCAAAACAAGAAAGATAGAAAGCGAAAGGTGGGAATGTTGTCAGCTATGCAAGTAAATGCTGGATTGAAGAAGGACGAGATGACATACCTCACAGCCTTGGTGGAGATTAAACTAGATGTGCTGGCTAAAGTACCTGATACTGTGGCAGATGTACTGGTCGAATTTGCTGATGTTATGCCCCCTGAACTCTCCAAGAATCTTCCACCCTGACGTGCAATTGACCACAAGATAGAATTGGAGCCTAGTGCAAAACCTCCAGCCCGTGCCCCTTACAAGATGTCGCCAATGGAACTGGCAGAATTAAGGAAACAATTGAACGAGTTGATAAATTCTGGCTGCATGAAGCCATCCAAGGCGCCATACGGAGCCTCTGTTCTGTTCCAGAAGAAGCAAGATGGATCGTTGCGCATGTGCATCGATTATCGTGCCTTGAACAAGGTGACTATCAAGAACAAGTACCCTGTTCTGAATGTTGCTGATCTGTTCGACAGACTGTCCAAGGCCACTTTCTACACAAAGCTGGATCTTAGGACTGGATATTGGCAGGTTAGAATTGCAGAAGGGGATGAGCCAAAGACTGCGTGTGTGACACGTTATGGTTCTTTTGAATTTCTTGTAATGTCGTTTAGGCTCACTAATGCCCCGACAACTTTCTGTAATCTAATGAATGATGTTTTTTACGATTATATAGATGTCTTTGTGGTTGTTTACTTATATGACATTGTAATCTATAGTGAAACGCTGGAGGATCACATAGATCATTTGAGGGCTGTGTTCTCACGGCTTAGAGAACACCAGCTGTATGTCAAAAAGGAAAAATGTGAGTTCTGTCGCCAAGAAGTGATGTTCTTGGGACTTTACATTAGCCAGGGCAAAATCCGGATGGATGAGAGAAAGGTGAAGACAATTGTTGATTGGCCTACACCAACCAAGGTGTCTGAATTGAGGTTGTTTCTTGGCCTAGCCAATTACTACCGCAAGTTCATTGAAGGGTATTCAAAGAAGTGCAATGTCCTGACTGACTTGCTGGAATGATGCCTGTCAGACAGCTTTTGAGAAGCTGAAGCATGCAGTATCCTCTGCACCTGTACTGAGATTGATGGACCTTGATCTGCCTTTCGAAGTGCACACTAATGCCTCTGACCGCGCCATTGGAGGAGTCCTTGTTCAGGAGGGACACCCTATTGCCTTTGAAAGCCGAAAACTGAAAGATGCTGAACAGCGATGTTCAGCACATGAGAAAGAAATGATTGCTATGGTACATTACCTTGAAATCTGGAGGCACTACTTGCTGGGAACGAAATTCACTGTTATGACAGATAATGTAACAAACACTTATTTCAAGACCCAGAAGAAGTTGACCCCGAAGCAGGCCTGATGGCAGGAATTTCTTGCTGAGTTCGATTTTGTATGGGTACACAGACCCGGGAGGCAAAATCAAGTTGTTGATGCGTTGAGTAGGAAGGAGGTCCAAGAATATGTTACTGCACTGTCCAGTGTGCAGACTGACTTCCTGGCAAGAGTCAAAGAACGTGCCCAGACTGATGTTGCTTACGGAAAATTAAAGCAACAAGTTGGCGAAGGTTTGGTGCGTAGATACTAGATTGATGATGATCTGTTCTATGCTAAAGGGGGCAGACTCTATGTTCCTACGGGAGGGGAACTACGACTGGAGTTGCTGCGTGAGACACATGACTCTTAGTGGGATGGACATCCAAGAGTAGAGAGGATGCTTGCATTGCTGGCTCGCTTCTATTACTGGCCTAAGATGGAAGACGATGTTAAAGCCTATGTCAGAACCTATCTAGTGTGCCAACTTGACAAGGTTGAGAAGAAAAAGGCAGCAGGCTTGCTACAACCCCTGCCCATTCCTGACAGACCGTGGTAGTCAGTCTCGATGGATTTCATTTGCAATCTACCAAAGGTGATGGCATGCGTTCGATCATGGTGGTGGTCGATCGTTTCTCTAAGTATGCGGTGTTCATTCCTACACCTCATGCTTGCCCTACAGATGTTGCTGCAAAACTATTCTACAAGTACGTGGTGAAGTACTTTCACTGGCAGATTCTGGACGGTGCTGTTCAATCCATGGATTCTGAGTTGAAGTTTTCTACTGCAAGTCATCCCCAGACTGATGGACAGACTGAGCGGATTAATGCCTTGTTGGAGGACAACCTGCGGCACTATGTCACTGCAAGTCAGAAAAATTGGGTGGAGCTTATGGACATTGCCCAGTTTTACTACAATTTTGCATAGATCTTTAGCAACAGGAATGAGTCCCTGTGAATTGGCTATGGGACATCAGCCACTTACTCCCCATAAAATGGTAAAACAGAGGACCAGAGAAAAATGTTCTGCTGCATATCAGTTTGCCCGTTCCAAGCAGGAGTTGCTTGACGAAGCAAAGGACAGCTTGGCCAAAGCTTCCCGACGAATGAAGAAGTATGTTGATCAAGGCCGCAGACCACTGGAATTTCAAGTTGGTGATCTAGCTTTGTTGAAATTGACTCCTGCATTATGGAAAAGGATCAACAGCAAGGTAGTATACTGTGGGCTGGTTTCCAAATACGATGGCCCCTTCGAGGTGATGAAGAAGGTCGGGAATGTTGCCTATCGCTTAAAGCTGCCTAATCGATTGAAAATTCACCCAACTTTTTCTATGAGTTTTCTGAATTAGACGCAAGTTGGGAACGAGATGTGACTCTTTGGCAGTTTAAGAAACAGATCAAGGAGTATTGGGATAACCTCTCGACGAGGACGTCGAGCTCTTCTGGTGGGGGTGGGTAGTTACCCCTTTAGCCATTGGCAGCATTTGGCATCGGGTAACCTCGCCCATAGGCACCCATGCCTTAGCAAAAATGGTAGAAGTCCCATGCATGACTGAGGGAGGCAGTCCATGCACATGGACACGTGGGCACAAGTCAACATGCAAGCAAGGAAGCAGGCGGCTTGAATTATATGGCGATGCTAGCTTGAATAATGAGCCATAGGCTGGGCCATGGTTAGGCACGAATGTAATGCAATTCGGATGCTGAGGGCTCCTGACACATGCACAACATGTGAGGAAGTTAGGCATGTGCTCTGCAGATGGTGGCAGTTCTGGACAGTTTTCTGGCAAGTGCATTTCATGTGGGATCTCTGTCAGATTCAGACAAGCATGCAGACACCTGTTATAACTTTCCTGTCATCCAATCACAGCAGACCTCTGGTAGCATTTGAATTACAGACATGTGCCTAAGCAGTTGGGCTTATAACTGCCACCCTAAATATTATAAATATGGTGCTTGGAGTCTGTAGTGTAACAAGAGAGTTGACACGTTTTTGTAAACAGACCCCAAGGTTGAGTTCCTTATACTTAAGAGAAAGAAAGGTTTGGTTGTTGCCTGTAAATTCTGTGTCCCTTGCCTGTGTGTTTACTTATTGTCCATTCTCTGTTCTATGTGCATTGTAAGTGTTTGGCTGAGACTAAGTGTTAGATCTTAGTGCCATCACAAGGCAGAAATTTGATGAGAAATTTAACCTCGTGACAACAAACTAGATGGGTAGCGAAATGAAGAAAACAAACCATGAGAATTTTTGAAAGAGTAGCTAAGAATTGCAACGGAAGTCATTCAGCAACATGGTCAAATGTCTGTGTGCCCAATTGGTTTGGCCCCTATGTATTCTAAGACTTTTAGCCGGGAGAGGGCATCTGAGAGCTTCAACCGATTCAATGAGATATGTGTTGCCTCTTGGAGCTCTTAGTTCTTTATTTCTTAACTTTCCTCTATTGTAATATCAATCTCTCTACCTGTTTCCATCTTCCTATTGTTCAAGACGGACTTAGCTTTATAAAAAGCTTATCAAGCTAAGCGAATGTAGGTTGGTCGTAGATCACCTTCTTTTAACGTTGTTACAGGCAATCCAATCTCTCAAGAAGTGTGTGAAGAAAGAACTCAGCTCAAGATTAAATTTTACCTAACACAAGTTCTTACTCTAAATGCTTATTTTGGGTATCAAGTAGAGCACAAAAGTAGGCGTAATAAAATTAAGCAATCAAACTACAACCACCCCTCGCAATAAACCAAAGTAACATCGAAAAGTTTAGCAAACAAAATAGGAATTTCTGATACCTCAATTGCCTTGCTAGGAGCAACCCGGATGACATTAACCAGATTACCCCTAAATAAGCCTGTCCACCCTTCAGTCTTCATGATATTTTGGAATACTTCACTCATCGAATGTCCACAACTCCCAACCATCAAATGTGTCCTTATTGTCTCCAATGGAGCAACGGATGTCCGCGAAACAGCACCCGCAATTGCCCCACTGATTAGCCTCCTCAGTGATGGATTCCCAATCTTAATTTTCAATTTGAGACCACCCTTCTTCTTTCTCTTCTTCAACACCCCTTCCTCTTCCACCTCCCATTCCTCCCCTGTTACCAGTTCTGGTACACCAACAATTGGAAAACTAGGTTCTGGCAATGACATGTATGGTGTGTACAAATTTGAAGATGGAAGCTTTAAGGCATTATCAGTAGGATTGGGGGTGTTTGGGGATATCCCAAATCCCATTCCAATTTGCCCGACACTAGCAAATAAGCCACCAGGTGAATACAAATTTGAAGATGGAAGCTTTAAGCTATTCTCAGTGGAATTTGGAGTGTTTGGGGATATACCAAATCCCATTCCAATTTGCCCAACGCTAGCAAATAAGCCACCAGGGTGAAAGGAATCATCTTGACGACACCAGAGAAACCCAATTCCAGAATTTGGGAATGACCCATCTCCATTGTTTCCAAATCCTTGCAACTTTCTTCCACCCATATATATCAAACTCCAAACTAAGCTATGATTTTCAGTTTTTCAATCAATACCCAGAATCGAAGTTTCTATGGACCCTTAAAATTTGAAGGTTTGAGCAGAAAGGGATGAATTTATTTTTGAGCAAATGAGTATTTTGAGAAGAAGAAATTAACAGTTGGGCAATACAAACTGAGCTAAAAATCGAATATTTTCTGGAATAAAGGCATCTAAATCGACCAATACAGGTAACAGACGACAAGGGTAAATTAAATATGTGAAAATATTGAGAGAATCTAGGAGGAAGGGTGGAGATCACCAGATGTCTTTTAAAAAAGAAAACTCAGAATCAGTTGCATTGTTACCTAGAAACAGTTGGACGAAGGAGGCTGTGGTGTTTAATACTATGCCTTTTGCATTGTTTAAATGCTTTGCTCTCCCAAAAAAGTTGTCCCTTTTTAGGCAAGAGAAGTTACACTTTTGTGGGATTTAAAAAAGGCGGCCCTTGAAGTGCTAGAGAAGTTTGTTTTGCAGGACTGTGAGAGATTTAGGGTAAGCAACTCCTCTTCGTTAGGTAAGGCCTAAGTGAATCTAGTCACCAACCCCCCCGCCAGTGATATTCCCACCAACCCCCAGTTAACCAATCAAAAGTATTTTGAATGGGAGATTATTAGCTTTTTGATTAGTACAAGATAATTCCGTTTGCATGTTATGAATGATTTAGGTATTCCTATGTGTATTTGAAATTTATATTTTCATCAAGAATCTAAATAATATGCGGGTGAGATGGCATTATCTAATTTTTATATAAAATCTATATGAAAAAAAATCGCATATCTCAGTGATGATAAGAACCATGTTGATTTATGATGATTACATGCATCCTTGCAAAACAAATAAATTGACATAAATCGGGGTGTGACCAACAAAAGATATTCCGATGTTTAATTTAAACAAATGATTAACAAGGAAAGAATTGTGTTCTTTTGAGTTAAAGTCATTCGATATTTATAGGAACTACCAATGCACGACTTGCATCGCACATGAATAATTTAAATAGTAATTTTTTTTGAATCTATGAAAATTTGAATTTTATGTGTAATTAAATTAATAATAAATTTGGTGTAAGAGAATTAGTCTATATTTTATTTCTTATTAAACTTAATTATTGAAAAAAAATCAAATATAATATATATTTAATTGTTAAGTTAAATGTAATAATTAAATGTATATAGCAATAGAATATAGATTTATCTTTGTGTAAGTGTATTATTTATAAAAGAGTCCAAAAGAATTTGGAAGTCTAAAATATTTAATTAGCTTACTCAAATTATTTCATGTTTTCTTTGTAATCAATCCCACCATTTTTTAGATTACTTTAAATTTTCAATCATCTTTCTTAACTAATTAAAATTTAAATTAACACCATTTTAATACATCATTAGGAATTGTCCAATAATAGTAGGGTTAGGGAGAATTTGGTGGTAGGGTGATGGTAGGAAGGAATAACAAGTTCCATGCATAGTGTTATTTATATGATGATATAATTGATTTTATAATAATTATTAGGGATAAAATAAAAAATTAAAATTTTCACATATGTTAATATTTATAAATAGTATTTAGATATGTGCCCACTTTTTAGAGTATAGAATCCTGACTCGAATAGAGTAACACACCTATTTTTTTATTTTTTGTCAGATATTCTCAAATTCGTGATCAAACATTTATAAATTTCCTTTAACATTAATTGACTTTTTAAGTCAGGTATTTATAATGTACACCTTTAAAATAGACAATTTTCTTACTAGTTACTTATGACCATCTTCAGTCATTCACAATAACCTAGCTTATCGTTGTTCGAACGAACCTGTTTCTTAGCTCTTGAATTGTGGAGCCAGAACCCCACTCGAATACTAATTTTGTTTTCCTTGCACTTGATTGATGTAGATTGCTCAAGAGCTTTACAAACCGAGTCAGTTAATAGAGAGAATTTTAATTCTGATCAGTTAACACTAGTACATATTCGGTTGAATCATACTTAGCTCAATTGGAGACACTGTCTTTGCCAAATTATTTTTCCTTACTTCTATCACATACCCGTGTCATATATATTCATTAAATAGTCCAATCATACATATAATTATTTTTTAGCAATTCCTTTCCTTTTTGAGAACTTGAAACATTTCCAAATTGCAAATTTGCTCATTGTATTGAACAATTTTTGTGTGACATCCTCCTAAGATTTCTCATCTTGTTACATTGAACAATTTCAATATGTTAACCACCCATCACAAGTATATGATTTGTTTTAAAATAGGTAAATAGTTTTTTCTTTTTTTAATTATTATTTAAGTTAAATACTCTTATAAACAAATTTCAATTCTAATGTGAAATAACTAAATTAATTGAACATAAAATAAATAACACTAAATTGAACGAGAGCAAGTTTAGAGAATGCTTTATGAGTTTTTTTTTTTTGTTATCTTTCATTGAACTCAAAGAGTGCCTTTTATTATAAGCAAAGAGGCAAATGACGGAAGGCCAAAAATTCACCTCTTCAACTGCCCTATTAAATACTATTATTATTTATATATAATATTAGTAATGTAATTGTCCGTGCTGAAGGCACTACATTACTCGTAAAAATCGTAAATATTTTTTCATAAATATAGGTAATGTATAATACAATTTTAATAATACAACAATCAAATTAATATTATTCAACCTGTATGCAAAACATATATAATTAAACATTTATATAATAAAAGTCACGTTACAATTACTACAATATATTAATTCAAAAATCTGAAAATATATAATTATTATTGATTAAACATCCATAATTTTAACATTTTTAATAAATTTTGTCTCAAATTTCAAAAAAAATATAACTATTTATTTTTCTGCAGGTTTCTACCTAAAATTCATAACATTATCTCTTCATCATTTTTTCAATGTAAGTTCGTGTAACTTTTGTAAAGAAAACATCTAAAAGTTTTACATCAATTCTCGTAAATGTAAAAAATTTTGTTGAGAAATTAAAATCAATTTCTATTTAAGCTCAACTTAAATATTCGTAAAAATTCAATCGATTTTAAGTTTAGTTGGGCCTATTCTCACCTTATTTAATTTCTCATTGTCAAACTATTAAGTTCATCCCTTATATATCTACATCATTAGTAACTAAGTTTACTCCATACTATATACACCTCATTTAATAAGTAAACTCACCTTACATTTTGTCATAATTAGGGTTTCAATCTCTATTTCATCTCATGCACTCACAAAAGTATTTTTTTAATATGAATTTTTCTAGTGAAATACAAGTTAATATTACTTCTCAATTTAATTCTATATTTGATTTCTTGTTTGTTGTATGAATTTTTATTATTTTCAGTATATTTTGATATCTCTGTCAAGTTTAATAATTTTTTATTTAGAACTTATATGTGTGTGTATATATATATATGTATATTTTCAAATTGTTTTTTTTAATCTTGTTTAGGTTTTACATATATATTTGTTATTTTTTTTCTTGTTCAATTTTGTATTTGTGCTTGATACTTTTTTTTCATGTCCGGTTTTATGTCTTGTGCTTTTGCGTTTTATAGTTTTGTTTATTCTTTTAATCTTTGTTTGATTTTTTTTTCTTTTTTGTTTTGGGTTGCTTCTTTATTTCTTTTTTTTTTTTTATTTCATTCTTTTCTTTATAAAGAGCTTTGTATGTTACATGGGGTAAGCTTAGTTAATAATGAAGTGAGAAATAGTGGATTTAGTAGTTTGATGATGCGAAATTAAATGGGGGGCGGGAATGGAGATTTGGAGTGAGAGTAACCCCACCCTTTAAGTTTAAGCAAAAATTTATACTATATATTCAATAGTTAAATCTAGCTCAATTCAAGTCATAATCATAATTACGTCAAACCAAAAATTGAATTTAAGTTCGACTCTATTAACATTTTTATCTTAAACCTATAAATTAATTCTTATTTATTTCTGTTCACTGTGACGCCATAACTTTTTTTTTTTTAATTTAGTTATTCTTTATTACTTTTACAATCACTTTCAATTTGACTTCAACTTGAATACTCATAAAATTCAAGTAAAATTAAGTTTAAATAAGAATATATATTTTATACTCAACAATTCTTATAAATAATAATTCGTATACTAATAATCGATTAAAATGAAATAATTCTTATAATTTTTTGGCAGAAAAAAAATTTGTATGAGAAATTTTGATCGTTTGATCAATAATCTTAAAACAATCTAAGTCATGAAAAGCTCCAAATAAATAATGCGAGCTCCCTTAATATAGATATATCACAAATTACATATATGTTATTTGGCCATTATACCATTCGAATATTATAATATTTTTATTTTAATGCAAAATATAACCTATATTATAGTCATTCAACTCGTTTTGACGCAAAAAAAATTATATTTAAGATCCATTTATTTATTTTAAAATTTTAAAAATAATCAAACCGAAAATTGAATTTAAGTTCAACTTAATTAACACTTCTATCTTAAACCTACAAATTAATTCTCATCTATTCCCGTTCACTGTGACCATAACTGTTTTTTTTTTAATTTAATTATTCTTTATTACTTTTACAATCATTTTCTTTTGACTTCAACTTAAATATTCGTAAAATTTAAGTAAAATTAAGTTTAAGTAAGAATATATACTTTATACTCGATAATTAAATTCAGATAAATTCGAATCCTAATTATAATCACTTCGAACCAATAATCGAGTAAAATGAAAGAATTTTTATTATTTTTTGGCAGAAAAAAAATTGTAGGAGAAATTTCGATTGTTTGATTAATAATCTTAAAATAATCTGAATCATGAAAAGCTCTAGATAAATAATGCAAGCTCCCACAATATAGATATATCACAAATTACATATATGTTATTCGCCTATTATACCATTCGAATATTATAGTATTTTTATTTTAATGCAAAATATAACATATATTATAATCATTCGACTCGTTTCGACACAAAAAATCTATATTTAAGATCCATTTGTTTATTTTAAATTTTTAAAAATAATTTTTAATTAGAATTATAATTAACAACCTAATTAATGTATAATAGAGAGAGATAGAGAGTTATAATAGAGATAGGAGATTCAGAATTGTGGAGTGAATGAAAGTCTTACTTCAAAAATTAAGGGGGGAGGGGAAGGAAATTTCGTATTAGGACCGTTGAAACAATATTTTTTCAAGCAATTTACCCGTGAAAAACTAAAGACAAAAAAATTTAACTATTTTATTATATAGATTATATGTCATATCTGAGACTATTTAACACTACGTGTCTTTCTTTGTGTATAGTAGTCATTCACATCATACACAGTATTTATAATATAAATATAAGTTACACAATAAAAAAATAATAAAAAAAATGGACTTGGCAGAAAAATCATAATTGGATTTCATGAACAACTCGTGTTGGTTCTTAAGTTTTCGGAAATCAACCCAATAGAAAATTCACCTGTAAATACGATTTTGGCTTGACTTGTGAAATCGAATTTGATGATTGAACGTTAATGTCAATTCCCAGTATGGATATTTAATCATGGACAATACCTGAAAGGACTGGTTTGGACTGAAATTGAGCTCAACCTAATCCCCCTTTAGCTTCTCAAGTCATTTAACCTGTCCAAGAGTGTTAATCGAACCAAATTTTGTTAGCTTGAATTCGAATTTGACAAACACATTTTTTTAAACGAACTTAAAAAAATTGTTCAAACTTGACTTATTTAGAAAATAGGTCGAGCTTGAATAGTTTGATTATTTTACATATAAATGAGTTGAGTTTTGAGAACTTGAGTTTAGCCGAAGTAAGCCTTTTTAGGCTAATTTTTCTAAACGATCCTAAAAAATTATTCAAGTTTAATTCGTTTAGATCACAAATTAAATTTAAGTCGAACCCAAAAAGTTCACCTCGATTAACACCATAATTGCAAATAAGTTTTCTCATATCCTTACCACATGGCCCACATTTTTCCAAAACAAGTCAATTTCTAATTATTCAAAATGTCAGATATTTTCAAAGGATTTTTTTCACTTGAGCCTCCTACTCCTACCATTTCTTGCCATGGAATTTGGATAAAATTGATTGTTTTTGATTCAATTGGACCACTACATGATTAGAATCTTGTCCACCGGGCTCCACGATACTTCATTTGGGCCACACGAAAACAATGAGATAAAATGGGTTTTTTTTTTGGGTGTCATCAATCAGTGTTTCAAGTTTGCAAGTTTCCCTTAACCTTACATTGCTCATTGGCCAAGTCTTCTTGTAGCCCTACATGTTACTCATGTCTGGCCTGCATTCTTGCTATTTAGGAAAAGGGTCTATTGATGATTGGCAGCCAAAGAAAGGATATAGTGAGATCATTGTAGACTTCGAATCGCGTTATGCCATAAAAATTCATTACTCCTATAACATCCTGATCCTACCATCAAGACATTATCCTTTTAGCTTAATGATCCACGATAATATCTTGATGGCATTATATGATTGTGTTAGAGGACTATTCTTTGTAGTATTGAAATATGCCCCCACACGAGGATGTATGGGCTTAGGTGATGAATTATTATGGCTTAGACCCATAAAGAAGCATTTAAAACCACACAAACCTAGCCCAAAATGATCAAAACGTGTGACAAAACCATACAGATCTAGTCTAAAATGAACATCATCTTATAGTCAGGCCTCGCGTCACAGATACACGACGTAAAAGGACCAACTTCTCTATTATGCAAACTAACCACCAAAACTGCAAACAAAATAAAGAAATCCATGCTGCCATTACCCCTCTTGGGACACTTTTAGAACCCAAAACCATGACAAGGTAGCACCTAAGAGCATTAGGGTAGGCATTGTGTTGTTATGATATCCTGACAATGGGTCCATCGAGAGGATTATCATCTTAATCCTGTTTGATTAAAAAGCTCATTTTCGTCCTCAATTCACGTTGTTTGAACCAAAGCAAGATTTGGGGAGACAGCAAATTAATCTTACAACAAAGCAGACAATATAAGTTTTGGCCAAAATTGACTAACAATAATATAACAAAACTTGCCGGAAAAAAATGCATTTTGTCCTTCCTGGTTAACAAACGTTTACTTCCTAACAGAACTGCATGACCAAACATAGCCACGAGTTTCATCTCGATTTTCCTTTATTTGAAGAAGATGGATTTCCTTTATTTGAAGATCCCTTCTTGAACGATTTTTTATTAGGCTTCTTGTTCGGCTTTAACTTGCTTGCAGTTGATGAAGGCCTCCCTTGTTGGCTCTTTCGTTTCTTATCCTTTTTCACATTATACATGTTCACAGCCTATTTCCCAAACAATAAAACATTCAAATTACTAAGCAAACATTTCATGATGTGTCAAAAAGCTGTAAAACAACTTAGATATTTAGAAAATATATTCTGTATACCTTTTCCACATTGAGTATCTCATGCGAATTCTTGGAGATTAACTTGTTCAGAACTTTCTCAGTTTGCTGCTTTTCTAACGAGCCCATTCCTGATCCTTCCACGACTGGGAGGAACTGAAGCCAAATGAAGGGAAAATATCTAAACAACACGTTTACAATTACAGCAATTGGCAGCATTGACGCATTATCACAAGTTTTTCTTTTGTAAGAAAAAAAGAATTTTTATGGGTTGGTTCTTCTTCACTAAGTATTAAGTATCCTATGAACTTGGGAGTCAAGAGTACAAACCTTGCGATACTTCTTCTCATGTTTTGGAGGCTTTTCTCCAGGCAACTTCTTGTCAAATTTCCCACCACTAGCTGTTGCTGTTGCTGCCATTCCAGCAACGTTTTGCAATTCGTCCTTACTAACTTTCCTAGGTGCGGCTTGAGTGCCAGTTATGGGTAAGGATGTGGCAGCAAGTTGAACATGGCTGCAGAAAAATAACTTAGTCAGATAGCATTACAATGTTTCTTGGTGGAAAATGCATTCTAATGCAGCAAGTTCAAAAGTGTGCATCTATTAAACCAAGCATGCATGTGCACATCCAGTGGAGGCAAAATGTAACAATATCAGCATAAAGGCAACTGAAAGCCCACTCTCCATTTAAGTCCCAAGGATGAAGATGCAAAAAGGATGATTTTAACATGAACTCCAAAACAACACTGACAAAAAAGTCTATCCAACTCGAGGAGCCTTCACTGTCCCAGACCATTCAACCAATGACCCGTATTAGGACCTCTCTCCTTGTTCAGAACCAATAATTAGACCAACATCAAATATCTAATAAACAAGGGTTCTGCTGAAGGATAAAATAAAACTATAACTACAGAAAAACACATTCCTCAACTGATTAGGATGACCGGAATGGACCACTTAAGTGGCCTTTCCAGGGACAGTTTTGCTCACCACTAACAGCAGAGGAAAACAAGGAAAGCAGCATACTTGTGGACTAGTAGAAGAAGGTTCTGTTCACAACTAACAACAGAGAAAAGCAGAGAAAGCAGCATACTTGTGGACTAGTTAGTTTTAAGCTCAAATAAACATCCAATTGACAGAGGTGATGTTAATGAAATGGATTAGAGTGGAAGCAAGTGTTTGGCATTCTCTATCAAAAATTACTTGAGAAAATACTCAGACTAGTGAATGGGAACCCAATGCTAAGTGCTAACAACATGAAGAGTAAAAAATGAGCACTTTTATCTTCATTTTTTAAAAAAAGTCCTTGCGCAATCTGGAAATATTCAAATCAAAGCAGAGATTTAAGTGTAAGTTTTAGTGCATCACTGTATATAATACACATAATTCAATCTGATCTATATATAGAGGTCGCATACATTAACCAAGCCCGGTAAAAGTAGAAAGATATCGCGCCAACAGAAAAGGCTGAACAGAAAATCCATAGCCACGAAGTGCCTTGCCCAGTAGAAACCCCATTAGTTCACTAGGAAATGCAAAACTAGTAATCATCAACATTGAAAATAGCTGGAATACAGCAAACGCAAAGGGGGCTTGAAGGTTTTAACCAGATGATTGCAAGTTCTCAACGTCATGATAATGAAACTTCCAAACAGTAGGGTTCACAAGTGCAATGGGAAGGTCATATTTTGATGAAGGGAGTTCCAAGCAATATTGAACCCAAATAGTGCTAATGTGAAATAACAAAAGAAGTTGATGAAAAAATGGTTTCTAGTTCAAAGCACCCAAGATGAATGGTGAAAGTACAAAACCTTGGCAGGGCACCAACTTTTGCAGCCTGCTTCAAATTATGCAATCGATGCTTCTCGTGCTTTTCAACTCGCTGCTTCTTTTCTGCTTGTCGCTTAGCAAAAGGATCCCCTCCTGGCTCTGGAAAAAAATTAAAACTCCCAGATTATCAACATATTGGTATACTATGAAGATGTGCTGCTTCATTGACCAACAAATGATGGATGATCTGGTTGCCTGTTCCAGGGAGCTGGTGTGTAAAAAATTCTAGTAATCTAGAGGTTTGTAGTTTATCATCTTCCTTTATCTTTAACTTTGATATGTTAAACACATTCTCAACATTTTCTATTGAGAAACAGAAGTACATGGATATACTGGCAAGAAACACTTAGAATCACAATATTATTTACCATCGGTCATCTTCGCCTCAATGATTGGTACGTCTTTATCATCATTTACTCGATCATAGCCATGTCGGCGCTTCCAAGAACCAGTTTGTTCATCGTACACAATCTTGTCTTTTTTGCGCTTTTGGATACCTGCAGGATATTTTAAATCAATAAAGCCAACCGAAGAATGCCAAAAGCCTTTTTCCGCATCAAATATTAAATGGCCTAAGAAGGGAGCTAAGATTGTTATTAACCAACCTTTCTTTTTGGCAAACAATTCCCATTTGGTTGGAGGACTAGGTTTTGGCAACTGAAAAAGAAAAGGCAAGTATTAAATGTACGGCCAGCATGAATATGAACAAGAGTAAACTAGGAATTACACCGATAAACATCTCAGGATTATATCAATTAACTAAAATGAGTTAGCAATCTGAATGATAGACACTAAACATGAAGAAAAGGGAAGTAAACAGTAATGGTAGAGAACACAGTTGTACAACCTTTAGCAAGCAAAAAACAAAGTATTACATCCTGGGGCGGGCGAGGAAGGGAGGGGGGATGCATACTTTTTGTTAAATTTCAAGATATTATTTAATTGATCCCTGACTACATCAATCAATAATGAAGAGTTTGCTGCCTTAATCATTTGTTGGAAAAAGGAAACAGTGCAAAAGACATTGACGTTAAACAAACACAGTTTGATTACTCCACGCCTTACTTTACCAAATTTTGTTTCAAACGACATGGATGCTGGACATGTATGAAAGTTCCCATGCTATTGAAATAGGTATTGGGTGCACTGTTGATATACATACGAAGATTTATACAGACAAAAGTAGAATCATGAAAGAAAACAAAGAAGAACATACGGGTTTCTCTCTAGGCAATTTTGTTGTTGGTGGAGGCAGCTGGACAAGAGGGCCATCTGGATTTTCAGTTGAAGGCAAACTGAAAAGAGCATCAGCGACTGCTTGAACTAACTTGGTGCCCTGTTGTAGGCATTCTTTTGCCAGCTCCTCCCTAAGTATTGAAAGCCAAAAATAAGCTATTTTCAATTCATATACAAACCTACAGCATTCAGTGGGATTTTTTCAGATAAAAAAATCATACAAAAGAAAACTAATCAAAATCATAATGCATCATCATTTAGAAACAATGGCAGTCAATATCTTGCAATTGCAAAGTTAATTGGCGTTGGGTTGGGGGATTTGCAATGGGGTTTTACACCAGGGGTGAGGTCTTTTTAAATTTTGCACATAAATAAAAATTATTTGCAGCTCCCAGAAAAAAAAACTGAGTTTGCAATTACTCAAAGACATAATCAGTTACCATAATGTATTCAATTTTCCACTTTCACAAGAAGGAATCAAGATGTCCAATGGTACAAGTTGCGATGAACTCTTTTTCAACCATAAATCTTCCAATAAAACAAAAAATCCAACAAACTATGTCCTCCCACATTGAGTTCAATGTTCTTAAGCCCAAAAAGAATTAAGCAATAAGCCCCTAAACAGGAAACATATTATCCTACAAAATGAGCAAATCTATAATAAAAAACAGGCAGCCTTCAAAAAGCACATCCAACGGCACCAACATCTCTCCCACCACCAACACGTCTCTCAAACCTTTCACATTGTACCGTGTCTTCTTAGTAATAATACAAAGTAACTCAACAATATCCAAGAAAATATAAAACAATTACCTAATCCCAAAAACCAATAAACCCATAAATCAGAAACTAATTCTTTGTTTGGTTGCCTAGAAACCCGAAAGAAAATAGAAGTTCACATCATACTGCCCCAGAAATAATCGAGCTCAATACAACTATTTGGCTTCACTAAGGCATACCCTTTATCTCCTATACATTGAAGAACATCATAGCAAAGCAACATAAAGCATAAATTGAAAGCTCCATTAGTTTTCCTGCGTTTTTTATCATTTTTTTTCAGCCACCAAAGAGATTGTAGTGAAAAGAGAGAAGGAAATAAAAACCCAAACCTGGAAGAGGGAATAGATGGGAATTGGTGATGAGGGTCGAAAGCCATGAGGTTTCCTAGGTCGATCTGATACTGTTGTTGGGCCATCTCTCTCCGAGCTTCTGCTTAGCGCTTTGTGCCTTGTAGTTGGTCCGACTAAAGAGACAAACAATGAGGAACAAGGGTTTATGGAGTTGCATCTATATGGTATTATAGGTACATAATGGGGGTAAATCCGTAATCTTCATATTATGTTACCTTAATAGTTAATAATCTATATCTATACTACTTAAAAAGTGAGAATACATTAAAAAAACATATATATTCCGTTTTTATCCTTAACTATTGGTATAAAATCAATCATATTCTCTATATTTTTTGATCTTCCCTTAACATCAAATTGATTAACTGCACTATTCAACAAGCAATATCAATGCACGATCATCTGATTATATTTAATTTTTTTAATTTAATTTATTGATTATATTTAATTTCCTTAAATTAATCATAAAACGTTTACAATTTATTGTCACCCACAACAAATAAATCTTCCTCAGTTGATACAAAAAGTGTTGCTCTCGATTATCTTCTCTGTCTTCTATTCTCTCATTTCCTTGCTTTGTTATATTTTAAAATTTTGGCTCTTTGTTGTATCAATTTGTGGGGATCTATCCACAATCTTATCGATCCTCCAATTACTTTCCACTCACCCAAATTTTGGACTATGTGTGAATAGAATGAAAACAAAGAGAGAAAAATAAAAGAATACAATGGCCGAGGACTCCAAGAGGCAGAAGTTGTTTCATAAGCTTACTGAATTTCTTTTTGAGCACATCTCATTATTCATGAGGTGGTAGTGGCTTTATGTGCTTTTATTTGTAGATGCATTTGACTTTTGTAGTTTTTTGTTTGCAGGTTTTGGATTTTGATTTCGAGAAATTTTGATTTATTTCTCTTTTGAATTTGAATATTTATGCATGTTTGGTCTATGGGAAGTATTACCAAGGAAGATGTCAGAAATCTCATGCATACACTCGTAGCCTTGAAGTAGAACACCAAGTATACACAATCTTCGAACAGAGAAATTTTATTGTCTTCCTAATGGATATGAAATCATTGACTCTTCATTAGATGACATTCGACATATTCTTAACTCGAGGTTCACTAATATTTAGCTTTAATTATTTTTTTCATGTAGCAGATTTTTTTTATCCTTTTATATCTTTGTTAATAGTTTATATTCCTATTTTGATTAATCTCCTCGTTTGATTTCTTTGATATTATTGTACAGGTTTACTTGGACACAAATTCAGTAGCTTGATAGAAAAAGGCAATGGTCTAGGGCGCCTACTGGTTTTGATATTTGTTGCTATTACTATGACATTTCATTCTTGTTGCTTATTAGTATATTCTGGACAATTTTGAATATAAACTTAGACAATCAAGTGTCTAATTTCACCATTCCTGGTGCTAATTATAATCTGATGGCTCCGACAATTTTTTTAGGTGGGACTCAAAAACATTAGAAAGACTGAATTTGTGAATTACAATTAAATTTTTAATGCGAATTACTCCATTGAGGAACTTTTTCATTATCCTTAAAATTTATCTACATTGCAAATCTACACTCATCCTTTGATTTGGAGAGCTCATTCGAAAGAATTGGCACTCGAGGAACTTCAAGGGACAGGTTTGTTCCTAGTGTAATCAAACTTTAGCAATGACTTTTTGTTTATAAAATGTTTATACTTAACATACAATTTTGAAATCTTTATTTTTTTTTCTTCTGAGCATATAATTAAAATGGGTTGACATTGATTTGTGTTTAAAAATATATTTAGTATCTACATCAATTAGGTTTATGAATGTATTATCTTTCTTTATTTCCTTAACCAGATGTTCCATACGACACACAAAGAATACAATAAAAAAATAATACAGATCACCACTTTTGGGTAATGGAAGCTTACGATATCCCATTAACTGGTGAGACACTTCACATAATAACAGCAAATCAAAATAGTGGGTCAGTTGCAGGCTAGAAAGCATGTATACTTCTCGAGAGTATCGTGGCAGTGTTGGACACAACAAAGACATGTGTTCGACACAGCTAGAAGTGTTCTGAATAATAAGTTCAGTCGAACACGACCAAATGTTTTATTTTTTTAAATGATTGTAACTCGGTGTGTTTTTTTTTTTGTGTGTGTGTTTTTTGTTATGTAACTTATGTAGTATGAATGTTAATGTAAGTAATGATGTTTGGTGAAAATTATGGATATTTATTTTGATCTATTTTAATTTTAATCAAAAAAATAATATTTGTTAGATCTTAATTATTAATATTATTATAAAATATGCTTTATTTTTAATATATTATAATTTTATTATTATCTAAAAATATATTATATTATTTTAATTAGTTGTATCTTTGACATACATGAGTCTTATATTTTTGAACTTTGTCATATTCCAGTGTCCGTATCGTATTAGATATATATTTTGTTTACAAATTAATAGCAATCTTTTTCCTTCTCACACTTGATTCTTGATTTTTTTCCTTACAAATTCTGAATGCATGACCAAATGTTGGGTTTTACTTACAACCAATTCAGTGAGTATACTAGGTGTAGATCTAAATATCTCCAACTAGGTGTGACTTGACTAGATTTCCAAACCATAATCTTAAGGTAAAGTGGTTAATGCCGCAAACTAAACTATGCATTATGTATTGTCATTTCAAAAATATTTCTTGCCTTTCTACTTGCACAAGTAGATAATTTAGCTTTCAATTTTCTGTGAACAATACTTTCACTTAGGTGTTGAAAAAATACAAGACCTAGCCTAAATCTTGGAAGTTGATTTCTAGGTTCTCAACTCAATAAAATTGAACATTGATTCTTATATTCTCTACTTAATGAGGTAATTGTAATATTACCTTCCGGAAAGAGACATAGTTGTAGTATTAGGTCTATTTAGGTGGAAGCTAATTTGAATTTTTATGTAGAAAGTAAGTGAATTTGGATGTTAGTGATTGTAGTACTTTTATAAAGTAAATTTTGTGCTTTAATGAGGGAATTATTTATTGAAATGAATACCAGTTATTTAAAATCAAATAGAATTTGATGAGAAAATCATATGATTACGAATAGAAGAGAACAGACAATAAAGATGAAGATATTTGTCTTGATTTATTTGTAACATAGGAAACTCGGCTAAATCGATCGAGTTTCACAAGATACATTTATAAGTTTTAGACATCAAGAAACTCAACCAATTGGCCAATATGAGAAATTTTACGAATGAGACATCAATTAGGATGTCTAATTAGCTACTTATTTGTCTTTTAAGAGAGAGATTCTCTCTATGACTTCCCTTTTCCTTTAATTTTACTATTATAAACTATCACAGAGGTTCTATATATAACTTCTCTTTTTCTATAATTAATTATTAATTTTTCCTTAATCTTGGTTAACAGAAGACATTGAATTTTATTTGTCTAAAAACTTGTCATAGGTCAAGAGTTATTTTTGTATTCTATTGTGTGGGTAATGATGAAATTATACAGAATTTTCAATATATATAAATGTTAGCAAAACAATACTAAACTTCTCTTTGGGTACAATCCTTATTTTGCTATTGCTAACCACTCAAGTAGTTTGGAGTGACAACAAACTTGGATTATAGATAACTAAATTCAATTAAAGGAACAATATGCTTAAGTTGAGTTGCATGGTTCCTCTTTTAAATTATTAGGTTAATTTAAGTCTATTATGCCATGACAACAAAGAAAGAATGTGTGATTCATTTTGTGACAAGAGTGCAACAACAATAGTTATCACCCACACAAAATACTCAGGCAATAGTCGGAGAAGATGATGACAAGCACAAACGCTCAAATGGAGGGAAGGAATATTTCCTCCAAGAAGTAGAAAGCCAGAGTAAGGTTCTCAAGATAAAAATGATGAGTCAAAAAGGCATCAAGAAGGGTCCAAGAATAAATTGAAAATATTCAAACTTGAAGATGAGGAGTTCTTGATGTTAGCAAAATAGGATTTCACCAAATTAGAATGCTTTGATCGTGTATTCACTGTCCTTAAGGAAATTATGCCCCCACTATATTTCTGCTGGGTTTATGCAAATTCCTCTAGGATTAACAAAGTCAAACAGAATTTCAGATAGCAAACTCTAAAATTCTCCCAATAACAGAATAGAGAAACATTTTTTTGCATATACTTCAATTGACAGATCTGTATAGGTATTTATAATACCTTAGTGAGGAGACACAACTCTTGAACCAAAAGATATTTAGCAATTAATTAATACAAAAATAATTAAGTATTTAAAGGTTTCAAGCCTAAGATGCCCCAAGTGCCCAAGTACCCATCTTTTGACTTTAAAGATTATTTTATTTAAAGTCTAATTAAGGCCCATTGATTTCCCTCCAAATCTTCCCACCATCCAAATTTATAAAATGTGGTGTGTTTCTCTTTTTAAACCCTTACATTTCCTTTCAATTTGTTCAATGTGTGATTCTTTACATTACAAACTATATCTAACACTTGAATTACTTAAATCAACATGTGATAATTCTCTTTTTGGTTTTGTTGAAGTTATCCAGATCATGAGTTATTAGTGAACTATTAATTTTAATTCTTGGTTATTGACTATCTACTTAATTATTTTTCGTCAATACTAAATAATGTATACTACTTAACTTATAACTGACATCTAACTAGCAAGAGAGTTCAAAAACTTGTCTACAAAGGCTGACAAAGACATGACAAATCTGTATGATTTATTGGAGGTCATGATTTTTAACATCAACAATGAGTAATATTTAATGCTCGATATGATCCACGTGCAACGCACGTATGCACCAACTAGTTATTTTAAAAGTATCTATATATTGGTTGTAAAAATATTTTGGGCAAATTGTATTTTGTACCCTAAAAGATTTTACGATTTGAACTTTGTACCCTTACAAATTAAATTTCTTATATTATACCATTAATGTATCAAAAAAGTTATAATATGAACCTTCTATTAACTTTCCGCTAGCTTTTTCGTCAATGTCAGTGGTGTGTTGACAGAAAAAATAATAGAAACTAATAGAAGGACTGTATTACAACACTTTTTAATATATTTAGAAAGTAATATAAAAAAT